TGCACGACGACGACGACGACGACGACGACGACGACGATACAAGGAATCTGTTACGGCGACGCGCGCATAGAGGCGCCCGGAAAGTTACATTAATTATAACTTAACGAGCGTGAACTACACACGTATTACACGCGGCCGAGTCGTGTAACATGTGTCGTTTGTCACATTTCCAACTTCGTCCCTGCGCTCCGTCCTCTGTGATATTAATTCAGCGTCATGCGTTGCGTAAACTATTAAAAGCGGCCATTTCAATCTCACTCGTCTAAACGTTAAACCCCTTCCCGAAGGTACAATTTAACGGACGCGGATAACCAAGTGCGCGATTTAACAAGCAACATTTTCCCGCGGAGCGCTCAGTCGAGTGGCTTATCTTCGTCTTACACACACACGCACACATGTACGTCCGCGAGCTCACGCGTCCAGCGCGTGCACAATATATTACGCGCCGGTAAATTCCCCGCGCTCGCCCGGGCCGATATATCGACCGGGCGATGATTTCACTTTCAACAGTGCGAAGTCGAGCCGCCGAGATGCAGCGATTTCAAGCTCAACCGCCAGAGATCTCCCGAGTATTTTCATCGATTTACCCCCCCCCCCGTGACCCTCCCCTCGATTCTCCGATGCGCGCAAATGAGCCGTGAAATTGCTCGCGCGCGGAACGCCCGCGCGTCTCGCGGAGCGATGATGCTCAGATTTCGCGGGATTGCCCGCGATAAAGCCGATCGTGAGCGCCCCGATATTTCCGCGCGCAGGAGGATCCGCGCGTATGAGGGGATCATTGTGCAGCTCCCCCCAGAGCGCCGCGCTGCAGCGGAGGCGAGGGCGGGGATATTTTTCGCCGCCAGCTCCTCCGGCCGTTTCCTCGCTAACAGGTGGACTTAAAAAGCGCGGCCCCGTGCATCTTTTACGCGCGTTTAATGCGCAGTGCACTCAGCACGGCGGCGGCGCGGATCGTTTATCTTCCTGCTCTAATCTAGAATCTAAGAACGAGGACATCTTCCTCGTTCTAAAGCTCGCAGCGCGTTTGCACGGCACGCTCGTGCGAGAGCGGATTTGACGCGGATTCCGCGCGCTCGGCGATCTACACGCGTAATGACGATACGGAACGTGTCTCGATCGCGCGGGTCTTTCGCGTGTGAGACGCAAAAGGATGCGGGGGGACGTCGGTTTATCTTAAGGCTTAGGAGATGGCGCGCTAAGAGCTCTTGGAATGGCTCCGTGTCCTGCGCGCTGAGCGAAAAGTGGCTACTTTTTGTTATAGGACACCTCAGAAAATGGGCGTTTTGCGGAACCGCTAGGCGCTCGATGATCTCGATGTTCCAGCCGCGCTTGATATTTATTCTCGGCTTCAACCGGCAAAATGTATGATCTAGTCGACTGTACACTGTAAAATTAGGCATCGGAATATGTGTGTTGAAATTGAGCGTTAGTGTGTTATTTTGACACATTAGCTGGCGTTAAGGCACTAAGTGCGTCATTATAAATTGTTTTCTGTGACAAAAGTGTGTTTTAATAACACACTTGTTTGTAACACACCATTTAAATGAACACACGTTTAAGTGAACACGTTTAAATGAACACACATGTGCGTATTAAAAAAAATATATGTGAGAAAAGCACAAATCGGCGATTACACCCGCCTTCAAAAAACTATTGCAGCTATTGAACAAATTAATGTAATAATAACTTGCTTTCATATTATTACAGACTAAATTATTAATTATATGTTATTCATTATTATATGTTTAAACGTAATATGTAATGAATAACGCGTGACTTAAAACGAAATAAATGTGTCAGAAAAGATTCATTCATTTACACGCATGTGTGCATTTTAAAATAATACACTTGGATTTGCAGTGTTGCTCAATTCACCCTCACAACACACTTGAGGTGTGTTATTTTGATATAGGTACCTTCATAACACATTTGAAGTATGTTATTTTAATATACTTTCATAACACACTGAAAGTGTGTTATTTTAATGCACCTAACCATTAACACACATACAAACGATTATATTTAACACATACATAAATATGTTCTTTTAACATACATATGTCATATGTGTTAATTTAATTTGCTGATTTTGTATGTCTAAAGTGGAGACATACTTCAACACGCTTCAAGCATGTTATTGTAACACACTTCGGTTTACAGTACAGGTGTAGGCAGATCCCGAAAAGCCCTGTCCTTTTTATGTATCTTTTGTGTGTATCACGCATGTCGCGGCTTGTTAGTTGCTGTCGACATATTTTCTTGGGATATTTCTCTCGCCGACGTCGCGTTATTCGGCACGTTGCGTCTTCTTTGGCCGCCACCGCAGTTGCATGCGAGCGATCTTCTGGAAATTAGGTATCGATCGACCCGGAACACCGCGAGTGACAAGTTTAGAAATTCCCTGGCACGTGAAAGAATCGTCCGTGAGCGCATTCTTAACGGACGTTTCGACGAGCTTGCCGAGAGGGATGAGGAGATCTGTCGCTCAATCTTTTGAGCACGAAGTTTTCGTAGCCCGGCGTTGTGCGAGCATCGAGTTACTCGCGGCTAAAAATATGCAAACTAAGGCGGGCAGGCTATCGAAAAGCCATAAGATCCGCGAGGTGCTCGAAAGAACCGGCTTATCCGAAGATATACGCTATACGTATATTTACACGCACGCACGCACACAGTCGCGCGCGTCCCCTAGCATAAATGATAACGTCGATAGATTTACCCTCGCCGATACGTTGTCGCAGCGGAGAATACCTCCGCGTCATCGTGGCGACGTTATGAATCACCGATCGTACTTTTATCTCCGTTCGCCAGCCGGGCGATTTCTCGCGCGGCCGCGGCTATTAATTAATCGCGGCCGAGGAGTACGAGAGATTTTTTAATCGTCGTCGCCATACGTGATTCGCCCGTCGCATCGTCGTCGTCGTCGTCACGTCACGCGACGTTCGCTAAAATCTCAACGGGAACGCAATTCCCCCTCCGGGCAGAATAACAGCAGCAAAAGCGCGGGCGCACGCTTCCCGTCGGCGCCGCCAGCCGCACCCCATAAACACACTTCCGTTCCGCGGATGCTGCGCGCTCGCGCGCCTCGCGTATTCCCGGGGCGGGAACAAAAGACGACGGAGGGAGTTCGGAGGGATGCTCCACGCGTCATGAACTCCTCGAGTTCGTCGTCGTCGTCGTCGTCGTAGCTGTGCGCGCCCTCGGCGCGCGCGGCTTGCGGGGTCGAGCCTTGTCGAAAAATCGCGACAACTTTTCCGGAGCTTGTCGAAGGCCTTTTCCGACCGTCGCGAAGTTTGTCCGCGAACGTGGTCTCGCAGAGTGGACGCGAGCTCTCGTGTGTCCACATATTTGTGTGTGTGTGTGTGTGTGTGTGTGTATGTGAGGAGAAGAGAAGGAAGGGGCGAGGTCGAGCTGCGGCAGCGGCTTTCTGAAAACAGCAATTTTTCTCCCCAAGCCCGCTCGCCTGTCCTCTCGTAGCTCCGCCGGCGTCACCGCCGACCATCCCCCGCCCCGTCGTCCCGCGAAAGTCGAGGAGGGACTTAAGAGTCGAGTTATCGTCTCGTAGCGACGGAAGTATGACAAATTGAAGCGACCATCGGCGAGAGCGATTTCCAATCATATCGGTCCGCACGCGCTCGTTGACTACTCGTGCGCGAAAGGAGGAGACGGTGCTTCCTCTCAAATAACACGGGGGCAAACAGGGAATTACTGATGAGCGATGAACGTATCAGCGAGAGCAGCCGCTTCACCTTGGCGCGCTAAACGTTCCGAGAGAGTCCACGTGCATCATTAAACTCGCGAGTGCGTACGAGTTGCACGGCTCGTAAGATCGCTCGCGTTTGGCCGCGGGAAATGTCATCGCACGCGTCTCTGCGCACTGAGAGAAAAGTGTATGATATTTGGAACTATAATGATATAGTAACTAAATTATAGTCCGAAATATCATATTTATAGTAAGTATTGCCATAACATCGGTAATAATTACGATATAGGCGTAATATAATAATTGTACTAAGAATTATAGTAAGTTGAGCTAAAATTATTGTATGGCTACAAATCCATAAAATGGTAGGTAAAAGTAACTCTTTTATATAGTCAATATTAGCAGAATATTTGCTAAATGATGACAGATGTAGAATCTCACTATATTTGTGAATGAGAAATTACCATATATGTAAGGTAAAAGTAACTAAACAATGATTTAAGACAATCATAGAATATATATTTGTGTATATTGTACTATATTTTGCAGGTTCCACGAACTATAAAAATATGGCTGACGCCAAAATATAGTGAGTGATAAAATATAGTGAGATTATAGTTAATTCAACTATATTCTTCTATCAGTGCGATCCGTCGCGCTGGCGTGGGAAGACGCGGGGGATCCTTCCCCTCCTCACACACGGAGGAAAAGATCGCTTGAACGACGGTGACAATGGACGAGGCGAATTTCCGCTTCTTATTCGACAAGTGCGATTCCTAAGAATCGATTCCCTCCCTTTCCTTTCGTCGGTGTGCGCCGTCTTCCTCCGCATAATTGCGCGAGGCAGAATTGCGCGCGAATGGGTTGGATCACGTGGAAGAAAGCTAGAAAGAGAGAACGGAGACTGACAAATCGCCGTCGCACGTACGCGAAGTCGGTCGCTGCTGAGAGACAGACGCTGGCGCGTTGACAGCGAACGCGCTGAGAGGCGAAACGCCGCGCTGAAGCCCTCGGACAAACTGCACGTCGTCGCCGACTTCCTTAGCGGCGCGCGTGCATTGCCCCCGGTGCTCTCCATTATGCAACGCGTTCGAAATATTCAAAATTTCCTGCCAGACCATAACGCGACGCAAGTTACGGCCGCACGTGTTATGCTGGCGCTGTGTGCGCCGCGCATAATACCCGGTCGTGGAGTTTCCGCGTGCGGCCGTGCAAGGGGCGCGCGAAAGGCTTGAGCGATACCAGCAGAAAGGAGCAGAAAGGAGCGAAAGAAAAGGCGTCCCGCCGAAAAGCTACTTACGCGGTGCCGTTGTGCCGGCCGATAGACACCAGTCGATATATCTGCAGCTCCACCCGCTGCCCGGTATCCGGCACGAATCTGTATGTACACCTCGAGGGCCCTTGGAGATACGGCGACTTTATTTGCCCGAAGCCGCGATCCGATTTGCTGAACAGCTGCCTGCTGTCCAGCGTTATGTTGCACACTGAAACACGGGACAAAAGCGATCGTGTTAGCGTGGAAATACGCTCGGCCCCGAGTGCTCGCTTCGCGAGGATCAACATCGCAGTCAACATCCTCCGGCTGACAGTTCCTAAGGACTTCGCGCCCGCCTTCGCGTCTTCTTCGCGTCTGATCTTTCTCGCGAGGAAGAAGGGAAGGGGGAGGCTGGCTTTAGGGAGATAGGTAGATAGATAGATATTGGGTTGGCAACTAAGTGATTGCGGATTTTAAATAAGAATGAAAATTCAAAATTTTTAATTTGCTTTTTTAAATTTTCTTCAATGCATGCGATACATTTTTCAATGTATGCGATACATTGAGCTTCTCTGCAATATCACGTGTTGTGCTATGACGATCTGAATCGATAATGGCCTTGATATGGGTCTCATCGACTTCAACTGGACGGCCAGATCGTTGAGCATTTTTCAATGAAAAATCACCAGAACGAAATCTGGCAAACCAATTTTGACACTGCCTTTCTTTCAAGGCTTCGTTCCCATACACGGCACATAACTTCTTGTGTGCTCGCGATGCGTTCTTGCCTTTTCGGAAATAATACAATAAAATATGTCTCAAGTACACGTCTTGCTCTTCCATTTTTAAATTGGGATAAAAACGAAACTAAAGAACTAATCGATATAATTTTTGTACTAAATGAAAGGTAGAAGTCCAGACAATAAGAAAAAAATATAGGTTAGGTACTTTGAACACGTTAACGAAACAAAAGAAAGTGTAAAATCCATCTGTCGACAAAATCCGCAATCACTTAGTTGCCAACCCAATAGATAGATAGATAGATGGATAGATAGTTTACTAACATCGTGGGGAAATACCCCTTAGATTTACGGTAAAAACAAGTACACGCCGACGGCCATGTAAGACCTGTGATCATACAGAACTTAAAGAAAGCATTAATATGTATGTAATATAAAAAGAAATGAAATAAAGTGACACAAAGTAACCCCAGAGCAACCCCAGAGGGCCCCTGTGACCTTGCCTAGGCAGTGATAATTTTAGATATACCAGATAGATATACCGGATAATTTTAGATATGTACAGATATGAATACATATAAACAAGAACTTATGTATAGATACTTATAGATACGAAGGCAGTCTGAAGAGTTCTCGGCCTGACAATGAAAGAAAATCTTTTTTGCCGTGAAATATATTTTTATTTTTCAATATAATCTCCTGAAACGTCAATACATTTATTCCAACGTTTTTCCAATAATTCAATGCCATCATTAAAGTGTGATTCCGGAAGGTTCTTTTCGCTCTGGTGTATAGTGGTGGATTCAAGTTTCATCAACAGTTACGAAACGACGCTTGAAATCCATTTTATTTTGCTTAAAACGATTAAAATGTAACCAAACACGCTTCGAGAAATACGCACTCGAAAGCGTTTTTGGTCAATTGTTAGGTCAAATGCAGCAGCCATCTTGCACAAAGCTTTTTCAACTGGTGCTACTACTCGAATGACTTGACAGATCGAATAAAATTTTACATGGGTTTATATCAGGGATGCCACTTTCCAATACAATTATAGTTTGACAGTTTCTAATGCCATGTATATGTGTCACAGGTCGAGAGCTTCTCAGACTGCCTACTTACATAGATATAGGATAGATATATATATATATATATATAGGTATGACAGAAAAGAATATGCAGAAAGTATAAAAAAGTAACGCGAGATGTGAACAACGCAGGGGGCATATGAGACTAGCTTATGCAGGAGACTATGCATACGCCATTTTGTCTGCATCTGAGTGCGGGCATCAACGTTAACGAGAACATTACGTCTGGCTGAGAGTTCCAAAGACGGACCATTTGCTCCATGAAGAGACGTTTAAAATATCTCCGTGCAATATTTAGGCACGAGGAGCCTATCGTCCCCCCGGCCCTCAGGAGGTTCAGAGAAATAACCGTATAGATGAGGTGGACTATGCGATAGTAAAGTAAAGAACAATAAACAATAAATAAAAGAGAGAGAGAGAGAGAGAGAGAGAGAGAGGGAGGGAGAGAGAAATGGGGCGTGTCGTTAATGAACGATATTCGCCGTTCTCTTCTCTTACGGTTTCGTTAGCGCGTCTCGTGCGAAGTGCGCGTCATTCGGGCGACGACGAGTCGCGACGGCTCGGCGCGATATTATGAGGCGAGCTGCCATACTGTGTAATTTGATTCTTAACTGCTTCCCGCAAGATGCTTCGTGATTGTGACGGCGCGAATGCCGTCTTGCAAACCGTGATATTGCATTTCTCGGGAATCATCACGCCCCCGCTGTCGTTAATATCGGCGTCGCCGTTGTCGACGTCTCTTGTGTAAGCAAACAAAAGATAGCGGAATATCGACAAATTTATCGATACGCTCCTTTACTGTTGATTTCGCTGTTGATTTTCCCGTTGGAAAGGATTCAACTTTCACTGGGTAAAATTAAAAATGTTGCCAACTCTCGTGAAATTCCGTGAAAATTTTCCTAAATTTCCGCAGCATGAGCCTCGACTCTCATTACTCGCGTCTGCCGAGATATCGGAAACGCGAGTTTTCAATCGCGATGTAGATTTTTCACGTGTGTGTGTGTGTGTGTGCGGAAAAAGAGAAGAAAACACCAACACGAACAAATCGGCGCGAGCGAGTCGTCCATAAAGTCGTACGAGAGATCGGCTCAAGCGGTCTCGCGTGTATTTCCCGCGAAGCTGCGAAAGAAACCCTCGAGAAAGTGGTATTTGATGGATGGTACATGAAAGCAATATCGCTCGCAAGTAATTAGCGTGGAGAAAGGTTAGATGGATGAAGCGTAAGAACTTCGTCAAGAGTAATTAGTTACAAGAAGGTGAGGTCGAACGAAAGAGAGACGCGCGGGGATCGCGGCAGCGACGATGCGATTTATTTCGCGCGTGCAAACGCGTTTAAAGCGCGCCCGTATAAACATTCAGCCGTCGAAACGGCGCCTCCTCCAACATCATCGCCATCGCCACCAACGTCCCGCTGTCTTTTGAGCATTTTGAGCCGAGCGAGCGAGCGAGCGCTCGCTCGTTCGTTCTCTCTCTCTCTCTCTCTCTCTCTCTCTCTCTCTCTCTCTCTATCATAAACGTTCGCGCGCGCTCTCACTCTCGCTCTTCGAATCACACCTCCGTTTCCGCTCCATCCCACGAAACCGCTTCCAAAGGGACTTCTCGCCCGGTCGCGCGCTTTAATTTCCACTTGTTCGCACGACACGAGAACGGCTGCAAACGGGAAGCAGCGCGAGGAAAGTGGCTTAATGGTGCGAATCTTGTTTCTGCCGTCGGCACAGACTCAAAGGGAGTGGAAGAGAGAGAGAGAGAGAGAGAGGGAGAGAGGGAGAGAGAGAGAGAGAGAGAGAGAGGAGGGAAGATAGCTAGCGAGAAAGATCGTCCGTATCTTTTCGACGCGACGTAATTATATTTCCCCGTAGGATCGCGGTGGCAAATGGCGAGTTAGTCGGTCGCCGCCGGGCGCAGGAAGAAGCGCCGAAACGCCGGTGATACCGGTGAGTGAGACAAAGAGAATTTCCGGCCGCCCCGAGTGTTAATAAATGTCGTACCTACGTCACGTTTTCGCGCGTACGGACACACACACCTCTTCAAAAGATACACCCGCGCCTCCGGAGAAACATATGACTATGCTGTCACAACGATTTCACGCGAAATCCGAGTCGAGGGCGCGGTCGCACACACGTGCAAGTCTCTGGCAAGTCGTAGTCGAAAGGTTACGTCACGTTTAAGCGACTGTCAGCCAGCTCAGCGTAAGTCCAGTGTCGCAGCCCTGTGAGTCAGGGCTTACTTAAAGATACTTACTATTCGCGCAGTGCTGCTCCAGGCCGCACTGAGCGCATCTATCGGGCGAGGCCGCGCCGCAGCTGCAGCCGCCCGACGGCACACAGCAAGCGCAATCGTTGCTGGACGAGTTGAAGCTGCAGGCGCAGCCGGTGGTGCTCTGCGTCCAAAGGTCGACCTGGCCTGAAACGAGACCGGAGAGCGTTCTGTGAGGAGATCAGCTTGGTTTTAGCGTGCGTTACATCGCAACGCGCGTTTTCCGCGTTTTCCGCGACGAATTTCAGGTGTGCGCCTATATTTGTCACACGTGTGGAAAAGTTAGCCGAACAAGGTAGTTAACGAGATAAATAGTCAAACAACGCTGACGGAAGATACACTTGTCCGCTCGGCGAGCTGTGTTCAGAACCTAACCCAGCGCGATCGAAGAGGTTAAATCCATAAACTTATATACACACAGAGCGCTCCAGGAGAGGCTCTCTGCGAGGACTACATCTGAGGAAGGTGGGCCTGTGCACCCACAGGCACATTCGGTCTTTGCCTAGCTTCACTCCCATCGGAGGAAGTTAGACGAGGATAGCGGGGTCTGTGGACACCAGAAGGGGAATATGGCTGACCTCTCTTCAAACTTCCTGTAAGAAGGCGCAGTCTATGTACATATAAGTCTGTGGTTTAATCGGAACGAGCTTTCGAGCAAGCGCGAGGAGCTTAACGTCGGACGTCGCGACGTTGGGCGCGTGGAGTGCATCTCGCAAAGCGCAGGAGAAGAATGCGTTCGTCGCGCATCTCGCTAATATTTCCGAGAAATACGACGAGACTTTTGCGCACGGACGGGGGCGGATTTAAACGAAATCTATAACGGCGGATTTTTCCGATACATTCTTTTTTTCCGTGGGTTTCCACAAAGTTCTGCAATACCGTCGAAATTTGTCATTAACTGTTAATTTTGAGCCGCGCTGGAATTTTAATTATCGGCTGCCGTGCGACAGGCGCGCATTTCCCGTTGGTATTACTACATACATAAAATCGGGCATTGTTTCATTACTCGTAGATTACCGGTGAAATTACATTCGGTCACTCCCGCGCGCGCGCAGCAATTCATAGTTTGATTGACACTACGCGTAACGTTATACGAGGATAATAATTATACGCCGTCGGTAATATCTGCAATACTCCTATTGTAGCGACATTAACCCGCAGACGGGCTCTTTATTGACCCTGGAAACGCCGTGCGCGAACGCACCGAGGTGACGTGTTCTCGATAACGCAGATACAACGAACAATGTCCGAATCGGCCGGAACATACCGCGCGTCGACGCGTCATTTAATTGACACGACCCCGTCCGTATTATGTCCGGCAAAAATCAAATAAAATTCGCCGTCCACTCTCCCGCCGCCGCTGACCCGCCCGCTCCCCCCCCCCTACCCCGCCGTTATTCACCACCCATAATCGAGTACAGCCGGCAACTACACTTGCGCGAGCTTGCCGAATATGCCCGTGACGAGATGTACTTTCCAGCAGCAATCGAAGCTGTACCGGCTGCTGGCCGGCCGTATAAACGCGCGGACGGACGGACGGACGGACGGACGGACGGACGAATGGACGGACCGCGACTAACTCTCCATTCTGGTTAAACGGTTCGCGAGCTTTGTCGGACGATTTCGAGCGCCCACTCGATCCGCTTTCGACTTGACATTCCAGGCGCGATATTGCGTTTTTCGACGTCGTGTCCGCGTGCTCCTACGTCCGCGTGCATGTTCTCTCTCTCTCTCTCTCTCTCTCTCTCTTTCGTCTCTCCCGCATCTCCCTCGCGCACAAGCCCGCTCGTCCTCGTGTTGACCGCGCGACCTTTTTCCATCGCGAGCGCACCCTTACGCCAGCGTGCGTTGTGTCCCGCGACACCAATAAATAGAAATGCTGCGAAAAACGGTGCGGAGCAGCAGGAGCTGCAACAGAGATACAAGCCACCCCTTCTTCCGCTCGCGCTCCCTCCGCAGCCCCTCGTCCTCGTGCCCGCGCGACGAGCAATTGTTCATTGTTTTTCCCCCGCGTCCGCGCTGTGACCGGATTGCATCCGGCCGCCTTCGCGTTTTTGCCGTCGCGTCGCGTCGCGTCTCTCATCCGACGATTTTCCGAACGTGCTCAATGAATCGGCAAAAACACGGTTATTAATACAGTATAAAGGTCCCGCTGCCTTCTCTCTCTCTCTCTCTCTCTCTCTCTCTCTCTCTTTCTTTCTATTTCTCCTTCGATTCGTTTCTCTCGTTCTTCTCTCTTTCTCGTTTTTTTTCTGTCTTTCTCTGTCTTTCCCCGGCGCAGATTGCGCGGCGTTTTACCGGGAGGAGAAAACTTCTCGCCCGATTGCGCAAAAACTTGAGCGTCGCGTTAGTTGACTCTGCGGAATCCGTCCTCGGCAAGGTCTTTAACAGCCCGATGGACGTCATCGCAAGTCTCGCCGACTTGGCGCGTCGTCTCGGTGGCGAGCTTTAGCGTGTGCAGGAGCCGCTGCGCAATTTTCAATGCGGTTTTGATTATCGTCGGCAGCCGCGAACGCCGAAGGGCGATTCGGAATAGGACATGTCAAAGTCTTCCATCACGAAGTGCAAATAAGGGCGATAATCCGATTCCCCGAAGTAGACAAGCGGATATGCGTCACGGCTTCTTGTCACCCGGGATTACATATTTCTCTCTCTCTCTCTCTCTGCCTCTCTCTCTCTCTCTGCCTCTCTCTCTCTCTCTCTCTCTCTCTCTCTCTCTCTCTCTCTCTCTGCCTCTCTCTCTCTCTCTCTCTCTCTCTCTCTCTCTCTCTCTCTCTCTCTGCCTCTCTGGTTCGCGGTCGCCACATGGAAAATTCGGTAGCGTCGTTTCTCGGATTCCCGGATTCCTATGATTTCACACAAAGTAGCGTGCTCGCTCGTCGTTGTTCGGACGACGAGGGAAATCGTTATGTAGTATGTCGTAGTATGACATGGCGGTAACGTCGCCATGTCATACTAACGCCGATCGATCGTCAGGATTGATCGCTTCGAGGACTCGCGGAAAAGAAACCGCGACAACTCCGTGCCTAATAGAGATTTCCGGTTGATTCTGCAAACGCGGAGATATGCATGCGTGATTGATTGATTGTCCGAGAGGCGCGGGGCCGAGGGAAGCAAGGAGAATTAGGGGATGCGTAGGGGTGGAGGCACCACCGAATAACGGCCGTTGGCTAGGGAGGGAGGAGGATGGGAGAGATAGAAGAGAGCGCAAGGCTGGCGGTGGGATGGAAAGGCGGAGAGAAGACGCGTAACGGTGATGAGGGTGCAGGAAAAAAGATAGAAAGAAAGAAAGAAAGAAAGAAAGAAAGAAAGAACGAACGAACGAAAGTGGTGGATAGAGAGACGAGAGAGGGAGAGGGACAGAACGGCGAGAGGAGGAAGAAGACATAAATTCCGAGCCAGTGTAAAAAGGGCGTTAAGAGGAGAAGCGCCAGCACCCCCGATATGTCAATATCCCGAGGAAATACGGGGCGGTACTTGGCCGGAGGGATAGTAAAAATAAAGTAAACTTTATTGCTGCCGCCGCCGCTGCTGCTCTGCTGCTGCTGCTGCTGCCGTTGCTGCTTTTGCCTCGGCCGCTTTAGCCGTCGCCTAGTATCGATGCCGCAACGGCGGAAATGTATTTCGGGAAAACGTCCGTTCCCCACGCGCGTGTTTCTCCGCGCGACCGCGGGTGGTTGCGGTGGCGCGTGTCCTGCGAGGGGGCTCGATTCGGATTTTTATGGCGCGTGGGGAAAGACGTAAGACGCGGATCGACAGGGATCGCGGGTAAAGCAGGGGAAGATGGAGAAGAGACGTAGAGCAGCAATTGGATTCTTAATCCATCGATTCGGTCTCGATTACGCGCGCGGGGTTTGTTTAAACGGAGCGCAGGGAGCGAGGGTGCGAGGGTATATCGCTGGGATAAATGGCAAATCTCGCCAGGACCGCGCAGGATCCAAGGAGATCCGAGGAGATAAAGAGCGGTGATACTCGCGCGCGTGGCGGATGAAAGGAAACGAGCGGCCGCGCGCGCTCGGAGGGCTCAACCGAAAGTGAGCGAGGCGGATCGCGGAAAGGACGAGTACGCGAAAACGAAGAGAGCTCGGGGCAAACAAAGACGTAGCACGGACGGCTTCTCTCAGTAGCGCTCTTGCCGTCCGCTTCCCCTTCTCAGGCGGATCCTTCGGGAGAATCTCCCGCCTGCCCGTTGCCGCAGAGGAAGAGAGAGAGAGCAGCCTCCTCCGCGCGCTCGCGGATGCCGCGCTTTCCGTTCGATTTTGCAGAGACTGACGGCTGGTAAAGTGGACGTTATTACGAAGCAAATAGCACCGCCCTCGTCTCAATATCGTCGTTCCTCGCTCTTTTTTCTTCTTCTTGCGCGTGTTTTGTGTTCTCGTTGAGTGAAAAATTATTTTCTTTTTCCTCTTTTTTTTTTTTAACGTCGACTTCGGTACGTAACACACATCGGGGCGTGTTCCGCTTAGAAACGCAATTCACTCGAATTGCGAAACGTTGATTCCACTAATCCTAGGATTCCATTAATCCTAGGATAATTCCATTGAACTTGGAACTAACGCACAAGTTACATATCACGCTATACAGATTATAGATATAGTTTTATTTTTATGCAATAAACGATTACTCGATGCTGTTTTCTCCGCGTCGAAAATTGTTCGTATTTTATTTTTATTATTTTACCGAAGCCGTTGAAACGACAGGTTTTTTTATCAAATACGTTATACAAGGGCAAAATCGTTTATTTATTTCTTTTAATTTTCAAAGTTTATCAAAGATATAAAACGCATCGTTGTGTAAAAATTCGAGTAATTCTCATAAAAAATTGTACAGCGGTCATTTTGTTCGTTTTGGTAGTTTTAGAATTTTTAGAGTTAGTTTTTAGAGAAAAAAGGGACCTTTTTTCGGATGGAATTAACGCTTGATCGTTTCATTATTTCGCGTTTAGTTTTTATTTTTAATTTCAGCCAGCATGATATGTGTAATTTAATTTCAGGTGCGAAATGTACGACGATGGAACAATAGGCGTCGCGCGACGATAACAAACATCGGGCAAGAAGCGCGAGTTTGATCCCATCCGTCAGCCGTCGCGTTCTCATTGAGCGCCGAGTGATGACAACAATCAAAACATTCCGGAGCTCCGCGAAGGTCGGACGTACCTCGTGTGCCGCGTATTTTTCCGAGTGCCTTTACCATTACATTCCGAGTCGGCGAGCGACACGCACAGGCCGGAACACGTGCGAGTCGGCGTGTTATTTAACATTCCCGTCGCTTAATTAAAATATCCCGTCTTTTGAAGCGTTTAATCGGCTTCTCGTCGATATCCCGCTAATTAACATTTTCCCGATCGAATCGTGCCTGAGCGAGTGTCAGTGTCAGTGCTCAGTGTTAGTGCCAGTGCCACAATGGAGCAGCCACGATGTCGGAGAAGCCAGGATGGAGGACGCGAAAAAGCGGGGCACGAGCAGCGATGCATCATATATTCCCAAGGTGTGCCAAATCATTTATTGTACAGGACGTTTCCGTTTTTAACGGACGTCCGGCGGATTCACCGAGAATTGAGAGATACCCGAGTCGAAATTTAAGCCGGCTTTCATGGTCTGTCATCATCCGACATTATTATAGCCTCCTAAATTTTCGATTATTCGTCGACCTGTATTTACTAATCATTTCTGTACTTCTTACATTATTTCATACAAGAAACATTGATTCAAATAGTTGAGTAACAGTCATGGATATGAATCTGTAATTTATTATTCCTAATCAAACATGATCCTAAATAATTTACAACTATGAATACCGGCCTTAGAATCTAATGTACATTTTGAAAATATAAATTTTAACGTCCGATAATGCTCCCTTTAATCGCGAGTATGACCTTGTTCACACCCATCGACGTTTTTTCATTTCCTTGTATAGTTTTATTATTGTATTGAGGTTCAAAGCCAACTTTCTCTATTCATAAACACACATAGTATTATCGGACCATAACTGCTAATCTTTTTCTTACAGCTTCCAATCAGCTCTTTTAAGAGCTTCAATTCTCATCAATTCTTCCAAAAAAAAAAAAAAGAAAAAAAAGAAAAAAGGGAAAGAAACACTAAAAAGAAAAACAGAAGAAAAACGAAAATAATTAGGAAGAGATGAGAATAAATTTTGTTGTATCTTTTACCCATTTCCCCATCAAGCTTTGCTTTTCTTGATTATTTAATATTTGTTTATCTCATACAATCTATTTGAATATTTGTACATGCATATATGTATAATATATACATTTTTTAATGAGTTATATAATTAATATGTTGCTGACTGAAATAAAGAAAGAATTTTAATATTAAAAAAATGTGCAATTGAGATATATTGAGATAATCGAATATTAAATAACTCTGGAATGTCTTTCGTGGCTACGACTCGCAGCGCGGAGACAGCATCTTACCGGCAGCATCTCACCGTTTGCAGCATCTCGCCGTTTGCGAGGTATGATTAATTTAATTACAATTAAGCTAATTACATCTTCATATAATCTTCTTCATTGACCCTTCAAGTTCGGTGGAATTTGCGGGGTTAATGCAGAAGCAAAATTTCGACTCGGGGCAACGCGACGAAATGAAACATGCGAAATAAAGTGACTATTTCCGGGATTAAACGCGTGTCCGGCAATTCGCTTCAGACCGTGCGCGGACGATACAGTGTACGCGTGTACGCGTGTACGTAAATTATGCGACGGTAGGTGGCAATGTAATCTTGTAACAGATGTGCTTCCGATTGGCGGGCTATCTGACTAATAATACGAAAGCGATCATTCGATACCGTCCGTCCGCGGTGTTCCCGTTAGATAGAGATTAGCGTTTCTCATAAAGTCGGGGAATATTACGGGCTGATCAGCAAAGTAAATCAACTGTCAATAGATCGATAGAGAGGACGAGCGTGCGTTAATTACTCGCGTGAGTGCGATACGTGACGATGCAGTTGCGTCGCGCCGCGGTGCATATATTTTAGCTGCGATTAACTGCGCCATGTGCACCACTTAATAACCACACGTTGCCTCCGTTAATTTGTCACTCGGGGATTTTTCCCGACGAGACGCCCGCCTACCGTGAGGTCCCGTGACGATGAGAAATTGCGCGGAGAAGGAAGAGATCTGATCCGCGCGCATTTGTTTATCGCGAATGACGTAAAATTTCATTAAAAGAGTCTCAACGAATAGTTCATCAGTGAGTATAATAATAATATAGTTTATCAGTCAGTTTTGTGAAAAAAAATAATCGACCAGGAGTACTCGGAGTACCCGCCATATTAACTTATTACACGGACGACGAAAGATCCAAGAGAAACTCGATGCTCACAATTTCCGGGTCTTTAGGGAGAAGAGAGAGAGAGAGAGAGAAATATCAAAGAGCGCACCGCCCCGAAAAGCAGTTCGTCGCGTTCTGTCCGCCCGACCGGGATCGCCGGGGCGTGAAAAATCCGAGATATCGCGGGCGGCTGCAGTTAGGTAACCCCGTGGAAAAGCCGTGGTTGCAGGTGCGGCGGACGACAGTCGAACGAAGAGATCCACTTAGCGCCCACTTTGCGCGGCGTTAAATTCTAATGAAGTCGGTGCTCTGCTCGATTTTAGCGATCCGATCAACCTTCCGGTAGATTGGGGTGTGCCGCACCCAACCGGTGCGCGGGGACCGGTCCGCCGTAATGGCCGTCTACCGTATGCGGTTGGCCATCGGGGGCATCTAATAATTTTCGTTTAAACGCGCATCGCCGTGTCCGAAGGGCCCTTTCGCGCAGCTGCTCACGGCGCTGCAGACGAAAGCCCAGGGTATTACCATAGTAATAGACAGAACGGGTGATAGTCGGGAGAGCGGGTGCGGTCTCTCAAAGGTCGTTCATTATCTTCGCCGCTTGACAGAATCTGCTTGACCGAAAGCGCCGACGACGACTACGTGACTCGCGAGAGCGCCCAATTTGCCGCGCGAATTTCGACTCCTTTCGTTTCTCAGCTCTCGCGCCGTCCTTGCAATATCCTTTGGCGCAAAATCACGTGTGTCAATCGGTAAATGTTTCAGAGACGCGAAGACAATTTTTATCGAGCGAGAGAGACCGTTTTGTTAATCTCGTGCTTGGTCGTTGCGAATTTTTTTTATTGATGTCTCTCTCTCTCTCTCTCTCTCTCTCTCTCTCTCTCTCTCTCTCTCTTCCTCACTCACTCACTCACTTTCTCTTTCCCGCGGAGATACAGCACGTGCTGCAATTTCGCGCTCGGAAGATCCGATTCGCGAAGATCCGTGGCTGAATCTCTGGCAGTTCGAGGATTGCGTGGCGTGTCGTTGAGACGCTCAGATATCTCGGGGGAGGCGGGGGGAAAGGTCGTAATAACGCGTTAAAATAACAGTGAGAAGCGCGATTTCGGTAATGCTCGCGGTTGGGGACCGCGTATTCCGCGATATCGAGCAGCTTTCCGCGGCGCGCTACACTATAACTGTAATCCCGCAGTTGAGTTTCGAGCTCTAAAGAAACGGGGTCGTCGTGTTCTTTCCTTTGGTCACGTTCAGCACCGAGCGCGATTCCACCGAGCGCTCGACTCAAGACGAGAAAACGAGCTTCAGCATTTCATCCAGATTTATCGCGCACGCTGATTTACGGGAACCAGATATTCATCGTCTCTCTTCCCCTCTCGCCCACCTTCTTCCTCGCGAACTTAGTTTTGTTTATCGAGAAAAATGCGCAAGTTTCTCACAAGCTTTACGTATCGTGCAATTTATTCCATTATCTCGCTTGAAAATCGCGCAGCTACTGCGCGCGATGATTTCACTCATAAACGAGGACACTCGCCGTAATCCAACGAAGCGCCACCGAGCGACGCTAAAACGCACGCGCGCGCGTGTTTTTATAAATAAAAAACGAGGAACGCGTCCGTGGGCGTCCAGGCGCAGGGAGCGTGGAAGGGTTAACGCAGCGCGAGATAAATCAGCGTCGTAAATTATACAAGTCTTGCGGCGGCGCGGCTGGAGAATTTATCGTCGATGCCGACGGGATATATCTTTGGACGTTTTCCAGCTTAACGGATCGGACGCCTTACGCCGTGCTCGATATTGAATCGACAATGGGCCGGAGTGTGTCATATAATTTGTTACTTTGCAGTCAGTAGCCCGCGTTATAATCTGATTTCCAATAAATGCGAGCCATACGAGCCCCCCCCCCCCTCCCGCTGTTTCTCGCCCACCCCCGCGGTAGTTCCATACAAAACGACTTTGTCGGTGATCGATTCTCGACGAGCGCGCTCGAATTCGCACGCGAGAGGCGAGAGAGGGCTCGTTGTTAGCTATACGCCGCCGCAACTTCCACCGTGTGCAACTGGCGTGCGGAAATCCTGTTATGTTTCATTTATTAACCTTAATATCTGGCTGAAACCGGCCGGCGCCGTCAACAGCCGCGGCCCGGTTGTTGTTGCATAATTTCGAGGCAGCGTCGTTCTTTTCGCTCGCGCTCTCGCGCGCCAGTTGACTTTTTAATAAACGCTACTCTTCCCCCGCACCCCCCTGTGCCCCGCGCCCCTACTCCCCCGCCGTGCGCCATCTCGTCGGAAATCAAGTGCGCGTTAATCTGCGCTTTACAGCGCGATTTAATTCGCTTCACATCGCGAATACAGCGCGCTAAATTAAAGGGCTTAAACCGTTTCCGGATCAGCGGCTTCCGAACGCAACTCGCTGAAAATATTCGCGTAACCGTAATACAAATAATCCGACGCAGCTGTTCTAAGCTTCATTTACGAACTCGTCGGCGCAAGCGCAAGCGCGTGCTTGATTATCGCGGGCCCGCATCCCGCGGTAATTTCCATCAGCGCTGCGCGTTTTCTCTCGGCGCTCACGTCTAATTAAAATGCCCCCGCGGCGGTTTTCCCAACTAACATGTTCGGACGCGTTGCGGAAATAAATAGTATTTGGGAGTCGCGTCCACGTGTAATTTCCCGTCGTCGCGCCCCGCCACGTACTCCCCACTCGATTCATCTTTCGGCGTAATCTTTTAATGCTCATCCGCCCGTTATTTATCTTCCCTTCTCTTCTTGTGGTTTCTCTCTCTCTCTCTCTCTCTCTCTCTCTCTCTCTCTCTCTCTCTCCTTCGCTGAAACTGGCCGCGTTTACGTGGCACGACGGATGTCGATTAGTCGGGTAGGGTTTCGATTTTATAGTTTCCCGGTCAGCGTGCTACTTGGAATTCCACCCGCATCTCCATGCATTTGCACTTTAATTGGCTTCGCACTTGCCGTCCTCTGCGCTTATATCGCTTTGTACCCTATAAATATGTATAATGCTCGCACAAACAGAGAATGAGAGCGAGCGAAAGAGGGGGGGAGAGAGAGAGAGAGAGAGAGAGAGAGAGAGAGAGAGAGAGAGAGGGAGGGAGAGAGAGAGAGAGCCACTGTATATGTGTTCACACATCGTCGTGCGCGAAAATCATTCTTCCCGTCCGATAATCGCAGCATTTTCTCATGCCCGACTAATTTCAACGACGTGAAACGGGCCGATCGATCAGAGTCGCGAAAGCATCGCGCGCATTATCACATTCCGTCGTATTGACGATATGTCCGAGGTAGAAAAATGCAATGGCCCCGCGCGTACGATTTAAACATTGATAGATGAGCAGTTTTGTTGA